GAATTGCCCGGATGCGTAGGGAATTTGTTTATTGCTGTGCTGTATGCAGAATCTGAAACTCCCCTCACGGCAGGGAAGTAAACTTTATAGCGACAAAGCGGCCATGAACACCAATTAAGTTGGTGGGCGTGTGTATGCGATATGAAATTTTTGAAGGTATGAAACGAAAAGGAATTTTCTTCAGCTTACTCCGCGAAATATAAGAAACGAAATTTCCAAAAAATATAACATAGCAGAATTCCACGGAATCAATCGAAATTTTTGTAATATTCCACGGAATTGTATTACACGAAAATTTTGATACAAATAGACGCACTCACGCTAATGTGCGAGATGGGTACAGCAGGATGGCCACTGTGGGGCTTTTGGATATCTTCCGGAAAGAATCACCCTTACAAACCGTGATACACACAACTTACCCAGTCCAATGTTCGATCGCAAATGAAGTAGCATGGCCGCAGCTTGGCGTCGTGAGCCTGTGTGCTCGTTTCGCCCAGGCATGCCAACATTGACGACTTGACAGTTCCTTTTACAACACATTTCTCTTGCTCACCGCAGAGCCATCTTTACCTCACAGTCACTGATTCCCGGTTCCCTGGGAGAACTGGGAATCGAAAACAATCGGAACACATAGCCAGGAATTTGATTGAAACTTTAACATATGCATGTTGTTAATACGTATTCAATGTACGATATATTGACTATCCCGCTTAGAATTTTGAATCAAACTTCATAATCTTAAACAATTTTCCAAGAACAGGATCACAGAACAGAAGGTGAAGTGCAAACAAATCGGTGAATCAAAACAAGCGATGTGTTCTTGTAGAGTTCCATACAGGCTTTCTATGCGCACTAACTCTATCATAGCATGCTTTCTATCTTACCTGCAGGCATAAGATGCCTTCTAGGTGCACTAGTGTTCGCCAATGCATAGTGGAGCCACTTTCTAATTTGAATTTCCACTTCTGTTCTGTGCCAGGATCCTACAATATGTTCAATTGTCTCAAAATCTTGATGATTATTATAATCCTGTATCTTGAATTTCTGAGTACAGAAGCTGAAACTTAACAAAATTTTTATTTTTCGATGTTATCTTTGGATATCTTTGCAATTTTGTCAAGAATTTCCTTAGGATTTTATTTCAAATTGCCTCCAGAATTACTTTTACTTTCAACAATCTTATGGCAATTTCTTATGAACCTCCTTAAACACAGCTCTGTGTTTCGTTGGAAATATGTTAAACATATCCTACCAAACCTGTCTAAAGTTTTTGATAATTTTTAAAACGTCATATGAATTCATTTAGGACTTTTTTCAAACTATCTGAATTTATTAGCAAGATATGGAATTAGATTCCCATTGAATTTGTATACATACTTCCTTGCAGCTCTCCTCATAATGCTAATTTTATCATCCTTTCTTCAAAATCACAAAATATTGAAGAGCCAAATTAAAAAGTTGTATCAGGAGAACACGGTTTCCTATTAAGAGAAAATTATGCTGTTGAAGCTGAAATACTATTTATAATATAAAGTCTGGATCGCGCAAAAATTGGTCAACTTCAAATTGGTGTATTTATGTTAAAAATGCGTAGAACCTGAAACCTAAAAAAAACCTGAAATGCTGTATTTGGAAGTTGGTTTTATATACAATGGTTGCTATGAAGAATTTTCACCGTTTGCTCTCCAGTTTTCAAAATGACGTCCAAGCAAGAGGAGCAGCGTGTCCAAATTTTGCTCGCGCAGCAAAAGAATCCGACGTTCTCACACGCCAAGTTGGCAAAATTGCTGGATGTGTCCAAATCGACCGAATTCGCTTGGAATGCTCCTTGAAATTCCTTCTGATTTGCTTTAAATAGAGGTCCCTTGAATGTTACTCATAATCCCCATAAAATTCCCTTCAGAACAGAGATGCTACGATGCCAGATTAACAGACATATCTGTGAATTTAATGACTTTCATTGACGTAGGATTACGTCTTTCGGCAACATATTGGGGGTGCAATTTCAAAAAACCAAAATCGCCCACTTTACGAAAAGTGGTCAGGTTTTGACCACTTATAACTCTGTCAATAGCGGATGGATTTTAATTCTAAACAAGCCAATGGATTGGAAATTTTTCTACAAATCTGCTAAAATGAACACTTCATCAATTTTCAATAGGTCACTATTGACAATTACACAAATTTCCAACTGTTGCAATGGTGCAAAAAGAGCTTTCCCTAACACAGATTTCAAAATCGAATTCCATCTGGTCTCGCCGAACGGTGCTATTCAATCACCGTGTGTGGTGGTGTCCGGAGGGTCGTCATCATCATCATCATCAGCAGCAGCAGCAGCAGCATTACTTTTGACGCATTGCGTTGAACATAGTTCTACAGTACAACGAAAGGCTCCCCGCAAGCAGCTAGCTATCAAGGCTGCCCACAAGTGCCCTCGATTCACCGCAGAAGGAGGAAGAAACCACACCGCTACTGAGCCATCTATGCCAAGCGCGTCACCCTCGTTCCAAACAACATACAGCTCGCCAACCTCATCTGTGTTGAACACCCTAGTAACTCAGCATTACTCAACCATCACGACAAAACATTTCTTTTCAGGATCACTATAAATTATTGTTGTTTAAGAGTAAATTTTCATTGAGCGTTCGCTCGCCTCATCAAAGCTCTTTGATTATTCACCCAGCAATTTAACGTTTGTGGTCAAATGTGTAACAGTATAGAAGTGGTACATAAGATTTTCGCAATGACCGAATACCACATGACCTTGTCGATTAACCAGAAACACTTCAATTTAAGGGAAGGTTTGCTCCATGATGCTAGAAAAAAGCACAAAATCTCGCGATTGGAAAATTTTAGCATGAAATACCCTCAATAAATATTCGCTTTTGATATTATCAATTGAATAAACCAAAAATTCCGTGCGTTTCGTGTACAAAAATGCGTAATTTTGTCGTCAGAAAACGAGGCGTTTCCTATATGGAAAAAAGTGGTTTCCCTAACACAGTCGCCGAATATTGATACCGAGGCACGTTAGCCTACGTCAAATCTACGGTCGTGTCTTGGATACAACCGCTTACTTTTTTTCACAGATAGTTTTGTCGTTACAGACACTTACAGACTTTTTAGTTTTTTCCACAAATATTAACAGACTTTTGAAATCAAGGGAAATTTTTTTAAATTTATTCGGTTACACTGTTTTACATCTTCAATCAAATTACACGTGCGATGCATTTTGCAACATGCATTATAAATTCGCGCGTTTTCAAATACACCACACGAACAAGCTTTCACAGTTATAGACCTGTCAATGTGCTGCCATGTTGCATCCAAAACAAACAATTTCCATGCGATTTGACGGTTGGTTGGGATATATCAACTCATGTTGGTCGGCCTATAACTTGACTGTCTTTCTTACCCAATGGATTGGGGAATTTCTGAGGCATAAAAATCTCTGGTGACGTCTTCCTTCGGAAGAGAAGTAAAGCCGTTGGTCCCGGCCCATGTGTGTTGTTGAATGGGTGCGATATCATACGCAGGTGTGCAAGCTGACTTCTTGCACATTCGATTGCCGTCAATGGATGTCAATCGATTTCCGTCGGTGATTGGCACTAAGGCTGTGTTCCATTTGGTGAATTTTCACTTAAATTTGACAGATGAAAAATTTTCAAATAAACCTGCAGAATTATTTCTGACAGACAAGAAATCAATTTTGACATTCACCTTCTCGAAAATCAACTGATCAACAACAGAGGGATTTAAATACATTCCAATTTATTTTCGAAGCGTCAACTTTAAGTAAATATCCACCAATTGAAACACAGTCTAAATTGCGGCCGACGTTAAATAAAGAAAAGAAGAACTTGACTGTCTTTAGTCACTTACATTTTAAAAGGTTCGATCTGCTTTGATCGATTCACTTCCCTCTACTTTCTCTTGCGTTAATACATTCACCAAAACACAAAAAATTGCAGGTGCGCTCTTTAATAACCTCACTATCGGCTATCTGCCTGATAGTCATAGTTAGTGCGAGAGCAAGCAAGCACTGAATGGTTGATCATGGTAAAAATCAATTTTCAATAATTTACTATTGATAAACAACTATAATATTTGCACCAAAGGAATCTTACATCAAATTTTAATCAAGTGGTTAATAAGATTCGAAATCCATCCATAATTGGTCAAGTTATAAGCGTTAAAAACCTGACACTATTTCGTCACACTATTTTTTTCGATTTGCACCCCAGTTTATTCCACAAAGACGTTGTTCATACGTTAATATTAACCATCAGCATGAACCACCTCTCACAATATTTGTACGAAGTAATCTATGCATTTGGATTTCGTTGGTTCGGAGAGTATCAAAACTGATATCATGATCAGAACTATTCAAGACCTTCAATACTGTGGATCGTTAACCGAAAATAATCTGACGAAGCGAATTTCAATCGAATCTCTAGTATCCAGCCTTGTAGTATCGATACTCTCCAGTTTCGCCAGTTGTGAATCAGTCGAAATTTTCATTATTCAGTATTTTACAGTAGTATTATTCAGCATTTTACAAGAAAACTGCACGCCCTGAAGCTTAAAGCTGGGTTTAGACAGGGCAAGTCAATTGATCAACTCACTTGGTTCAAGTCACTTGAATTCAATCCGATTGAATCTGTTTGTTTAGACGAGGCAAGTCAGTTGATAAACTCACTTGAATTGAAGCGAGTTGAATTTAGTTGAGTAGGAGTCAAGTTCTTGGCTGTTGAAATAAATTTGTGGTTTTTACAAGTTAAAAATCTCTAAACATGGCGAAATTACTGGCAAAAAAGGCTGTACTTGAGAATGTGCTGGTTGTGGTTGCGGAATTGGCGGAAAACTTAAAAAATAGTCGAAAACGTAAACGCGTGTGGATAAAAGACTGGATTAAACGACGAGCCGTTCAAGGAGCCTCTGATAATTTAGCAAATGAGCTAAGATTAGAAGACCCATACAATTTCAGAAATTTTTTGAGGATGAATGCTGTGCAGTTTAAAGAACTATTGACGAAAGTTGGACCAAAAATTATGAAAAAGGACACATTGATGCGCTCGGCTATACCGGTTCATATAAAGCTCATGATTACCTTGAGGTATCTTGCAACCGGAGGCTCCTTCAAGAGTCTGGAATTTTTATATAGAGTACCAAAATGTACAACCTCTACATTTCTGGTAGAAACCTTGGAAGCTATTTACAAATCCTTGAAAAATTTCATTAAGGTAAGTTAATCCTGGACTTTATTATTATACCCATTCCCGATTTTTGTGTTAAAATGTAATTTACTTGGTGCAGTGTATGCTGTAATACATGTTCCTCGCTTGGTCCACACGTAATCCCGACTTACTTTCACATCCAACTTGCTGAGCAACTTACCATTTTCTTTCTTGAAGTGAATAAACCAAGCCGTTCCGTCCAGCAGCAGATTTAAACAACCCTTGTGCGGTCGAATTGGCCGTTTTCTTGACCCGTTTTATATAATTAGGTACCCACGGTTTGTGAGCTAGCAGTAAACACCAACTCCCGGCTGAAACATAAACTACATATACTTTTTTTTATTCCGATTAAAAGTTATGTATACAACCAACCAAAAAAAAAAATCACTTACAAAATTAATTATCTCTTGTAAGGTGACGTCACCACCTGAAGGATTTTTTTTGAGGGCAATGTTTACATTTGTCTTTCATAAAAAAAAAAAAACATTGCCCACAAAATGATGTCTAAATCTCGATGAACATTTCAAATGGTCCTATTTGCTTTGAGCGATTCTCTTCATCGACTTTCCTCCCTTTTTATGGCACAGACCTGTTGGTCCACATTATGTCTAAATTCGACAGTGAGCATGCATAAGGGCGAATACGCGATTCCTTTGCCAAGAAAAAATCGATACAAAGTGTGGTTTACAGAGTTGGTACGGAATGATTATTGTTATTATTATTACATTGATCAATCAAACTGCTGAGCTTTTGACAGAAATTTACAGTGGCTACCACAGTATTTTATATTTGTTATCCATATACAGTAGCGCCAAAAGCAAGCTGTGGTTGGTTCAAAACTTGACCATCTAAATTGATCTATTTTAAATGAACGTAACATTTTCGTAAGACATTAATAATAATATATATAAATATATATTACTAACAAATTTTGTACCCAGCTTCAGGTTCCCTCTTCACAAACGCAATGGATGCCGATTGTTCAAGCATTTTCAACCAAATGGAATTTCCCGGGGTGTTTTGGTGCTATAGATGGCAAGCACGTTCTTATACGAAATCCTCCGGAAAGTGGATCAGACTACTACAATTATAAAGGATCGTACAGCATAATCTTACTTGCTTTAGTAGATGCCGATTATCGGTTCATATACATCGACGCTGGTGCACAAGGGAGGATTTCAGACGGTGGGTTGTTCCAGGAGAGCTCACTTCTTCGCTACATGGAAGAAAACCGATTGGGGAATCCTGCGGGAACACTCATTGTTGGCGATGACGCCTTTCCATTGAAACCGTACATGATGAAGCCATACTCTCGGAAAAATATGACTTTAAAAGAAAGAATTTTCAACTAAAGGGTGATACGGTCAAAATTTGGTCAAGGGAAAACGCGTGTAAATCGGTGAAATCGTGTATTTAAAAAATCAAATTAAATTTCTTTTTCAAGTTCAATTAGTATAAAATTCAGGAAAAATATTCAGTTAGGCTTCCGCTTTTCCAAATCCGAATTGCCGGGCCTTACGCTTGACCCCTGCCATCAGATTTTGTACAGCCACCTTGTCCACCTTCTTCGCCGCAGAAAGCCAGTTTGCCTTGAACTGCTGCTCGCCCTTAGCAGTTTTTTTGGTCTTCTTTAGGTTCCGCTTGACAATAGCCCAGTATTTCTCAATTGGGCGGAGCTCTGGCGTGTTGGGAGGGTTCTTGTCCTTGGGAACCACCTGCACGTTGTTGGCGGCGTACCACTCCATGGCCTTTTTACCGTAATGGCAAGATGCCAAATCCGGCCAAAACAGTACGGAACAACCGTGTTTCTTCAGGAAAGGCAGCAGACGTTTATTCAAACACTCTTTCACGTAAATTTCTTGGTTGACAGTCCCGGAAGCTATGAAAATGCTGCTTTTCAAGCCACAGGTACAGATGGCTTGCCAAACCAGATATTTCTTTGCGAACTTTGACAGTTTCATGTGCTTGAAAACATCTGCTACCTTTCCCCTTCCTTTTGCCGTATAAAACTCCTGTCCCGGAAGTTGCTTGTAGTCGGCTTTGACGTAGGTTTCGTCGTCCATTACCACGCAGTCAAACTTCGTCAGCATCGTCGTGTCCAGCCTCCGGGATCGCGCTTTGGCCGTCGTATTTTGTTCATCATCGCGATTTGGAGTCACTACCTTCTTGTAAGTCGATAGTCCGGCTCGTTTTTTGGCTCGATGCACGGTTGTAGACGATACACCCAGCTTATTTGCGGCATCTCGGAGAGAGAGGTTAGGGTTTCGCTTGAAACTACCGGCAACTCTCTTTGTCGTTTCAGTGGCTTCCGGTTTTCGATTTCCCCCCGATCCAGACTTCCTGGCTGTCGACAAACGTTCCCCAAACACTTTAATTACATTTGTAACGGTTGATTTGGCAACTTTTAGCGATTTTGCCAACTTTGCGTGCGAGTAGCTCGGATTTTCGCGATGCGCGAGCAAAACTTTGATACGCTGCTCTTCTTGCTTGGACGGCATTTTGACAACTGAAGAGTGAATTCCAAAATCAAAATAGGAGCAACATTCTACACACACATACCTTCAAAATGAGGGGTGTTCAGGGTTTTTAAATGCAAAATTGAAAGAAATACGTCAAGTTGATATTGACCAAATTTTGACCGTATCACCCTTTACCGTCTCAGCAGAGCAAGGCGGGTCTCTGAAAATGCGTTTGGATTACTAGTATCCAAATTCAGGATTTATGAGAAACCGAATCCTCTGAGTCCAGACAAAGTTACTTGCGTTGTGAAAGCAACAACAGCATTACATAATTGGTTGAGGAAAACATCTCCGTCAACTTATACCACAACCGGCATGATAGATGTAGAGAACATAGATACAGGTCATATTATACCCGGTGCCTGGAGGCAAACACCAATGGCAATGGAACATCTCGAAAGACAAGGCAGCAATAATCACACCCGTCAAGCATCTGCTATCCGAGAAAACTATGCAGAATATTTTTTAACTAAAGGTGCCGTCCCATGGCAGTTAAATGCTGTTAAATGATGGCAGTAAATGATTATTTTATAATCAACAACGAAATCAACAATTAGTTGGTGTAAGAATAAAATCCAGACTAAAAATAAATAAATAAGTACCTCACATTGAGTTCCATTCACTCAGATTAGATCAAAGGACGACGATTTCATAGGATCAGTTAACAATCTTTATGTATTTTTCCTATATAAAAAGTTAGTTTCAGTGATGGTGATTTTTGTTAATGTTTCAACTTACGTGCTCCGATTCATTTGATAGCAGATTCCAAGCCACATTATGATTCTGCACGTCGAGCAGGATTTGGTGATGACACATTGGTTCGGTCAGAATCGTTGCGAAAGGAAAAGGAACTGAACGCACAGATCTATGCCGGATCCACTGAGCCACGAACTGTCGGAAATCAACATGCAATTACCACATGTTCCACGACCGGAACTTCTTCGATACGGTTCCTTAGGATATGCTGTATATGTATTCGCAGCGGATCAACACTTACAAGGGAAACTACGAATATTTCAACAAGACCCGAACGCAAAAACACAAAGCCGGAACCAAGATTCTGATTCAACGCCAATCGCGCTGCCAGCGTGCAGTCCTAGATCAAGATGTTGGAAAAACTTTTGTTCTACATAAAGTGTGATTAGATTCAGAGAAAAGTTAAAGTTTTCCACTTATTTAAGACCAGATTTGCAGTGGAGAAGAAAACATAAGTGGCTAATCTCCACTAGAGAATCTGTATTTTAATTTATATTATGACCAAAGTCACTAGTCTTTCAAATGAATTCACTATCTGCTATCCCACACCAGGTTGACGAGATGGGTGCCGGCATGGCGGTTTTCACCCTGTTGAAAACCGCCATGGGCCTGCTGCAACCGACGGGAGGGCTTGTCCATCCGCACCAGCATAGGGAAGGCTGAATGCAGGTGTGGTTTACAAGTACTACAAGCCGTACATTACTTCCGCCTCACAGTGGTCCAAAAGGGCGATTTTAAGAAATAAATCCAAAAGTGCACAAAGATGAAGTGTTATCAATTTGTTTTATTCGGAACTGTTTTTAGTTAGATAGGTAAATGCGCAAAATAGCAAATAAAAAAAGAAGAATACATCGAAGTTATAACGAAGAAATGTGCGATCCTCTCCAAGAAATATTAAATCCGACTACCAATCACTCTTATAGTTTTGTTGTTTGAATAACCGTTGGAAGGAGAACCTGCAAAAATATTTGTTAATGTTTCAACTTACGGGGCGATCCATTAAGTAGGTCACGGTCTTAGGAGCAGAGGAGTAGTAGTATGCGTGGTACAATAATGGTGCAGGTGGTGATTTTCGCGTGACATACTTAATGGAAACTCCCTCAATTATTTTTTTGAATATACTTACTTGTTTTATGCGTTTAATCCATAATAGATTGAATAGCTAACGAAAGCAGATCTTGCGCGGAATTCAAATTTCCCTCATGCCAAACTAGTTGATTCCATGGATCAGCACCACCAACTTTCCTAATGGCGACCGGATATGACTCAGGATGTGCCTGTGTGGCACAAAGTGGCTGCTTTTCGGGTTGAAGGTTGGTGGAAGACGTATATACCTGGAGATTTTCTCCGTTTATGGCCGAATTTTCATTTTGAACCGGTGTAGAACATGCGGATGACTTTGTAACTTCGGGAGCACTGGTTGCTGTCAGCGTCTCCGCCGGAAGCGTATTTATGCTGGTATATTCCAATCCTGTTGTTTCAAACTCTATCTCTCCAAATCTTTCTGGTGTAAACGAACATGACCTGTACAAAGTTTTATTGTCAGTCGTTACGTTAACGTCGGGGTTGTTGAACGCAGTGAGTTCTGATTTTCGAGCATAGGTCAGAATACTGTTGATTTCGGCTTGGCAGTCAAGAGCCTTGACTACACTTAATTTTCTTAAGTTAGCCGCTACATGGCTCCCAAAAATATCGAATTCATCTTCTGCGAGCCCAGTTCGTGCAGATTGGCATATTTGCTCGAGTTTATCAACTGCTGATAATGTAGCATTGGTCCGACGTTTTTTACCGGTTCTCGAAATCCTGCTTGGGCCCTCTTGGGTCAGGCTTTCATCGTTGTTCAGATCGTAGTCAAATTGAGTGGTTGGCAACTCGGGTGAATCCGGTGAATCCTAAATATGCGATAAGTAGTAATAAAATTTGTTCCAGAACAATTTATTATCAATGGTACCTGAAGTTGGCTCGACGTTGTTTCCCGGTTTTCACGAAACGACTGGGAATTCAGATCCGACGGCTGATCCTGAAAATTATTACGATTAGACAAATTGCTCCTTCTATGACCGTAACTTGATCGTTGCATTATATTGGCGGCTATAAACTTACCAAGTTTTCAAAGACCGGACGAACATCAGTTACCCTTCGTAAAAATCGATCTGCTTCCTCGAACCAACAGCATGTTGGCTCGTAGACATCATCAGTAGATGCGCCGGATTTTTTTGATTTATTTATTTTTCTTTTCTCTGCAGTATACGTTGTCCGTATGGCCTTTATTCTTGTTTTTATTTCCGTATCTGTCATATTTATGCCGGACCCGGCCATGTCCCGTATCAATGACTGTATCGCCCGGTTCCGTGCATCACGATTCCTGTACTGTTCACTGCTGGTGTCCCATAGACAACCATAGTTTCCATAGTATTGGACAAATATTAGCGACTTTTCTTCGGACCACCTCGACATGTTGACTTCGATGTTGACCAATCGTACAAGTTCACTAAAGAATACCACCAATTCGTTTAACCTTTAATGATGTGCACGCAGATTTTCAGAAGCGGCCATTTTCCTTTTTTCCCTTTTTGCTTGACTTGAACGAAAAAGTTGAGACTGGCTCAACTTTCGTTCAAGTCAAGTGAGTTGATCAAGTCAGTTGAATGGCATGGTTTACACGTTCAATTCGCATTCAAGTCTGTTGAATTCAACTGACTTGATCAATTGACTTGCCCTGTCTAAACCCAGCTTAAGGGTTTCGAAGATGACGGAAAGTAATTTTATTTTCACAAATATTGTAGGACTTTTATTAGTCATAAGTATTTGCAGGAATATTCATTGCAAACAAGGAGCTGGTTTACCATTAAATGGAAGGAAAAGTTGTGACCGAGCTGTTGGATCATGTACAAAAAAAATATCTGGTAGTAGGGGAAATGACGGCTTCGGCATGACAGACTATTTTTGGCAACCGAAATTGAAACACTATTTTCACTGGATTTTCTTACGAAAACACTTCGCTGAATGCATGCAAACGATTCTTTATGCTTTCAGCTTGAATGTGACTATATTTTTACCACTGAGAAAAAGCAATCTAGCAGGGTTTTCTTGAAATGAAACACACGCACTACAAATTGTTGCTGATTTCGAGTTGCCGATAATAGAACAGCAGATTTACATGCAGTTCAAATGGAACGGTTGCCGAAGAAAAACTGGTTGCCGACAATACTCGCTCTCACTAGAGAAGATTGGAGCTTTGTAAAAGCGTTTCAAAACAGTTTTTGACAATTCTTTCGACTGAAATTGTTAGAGCAGCTGGCAGCAAAAGATTGTAAACAAACCAATACTGCATATGTTGGCGTTCCATAGAGAAAAAGGCTATAGAAAGAAGGTCGCTGCTTAGGTTGCCGAGAATACGTAAATTCCCCTATGTTGAATATCACGGAAGCGAAAAAAAAAGATTTCAAGTTTCATTGCCAAGTTCAACAATTGGTGGAGGAAAAGCAGCCGTCATTGGGGAAGACTTGAAAAACTCTGTTCGAACTGGTTGAAGGGAAAACTAATTTTTGAGACGCTGAACGTCTCGAGTACGCCAAGGGTCGCCCCAAGAAAACGTTCTCATAGTCGAGCACAAGAACCAAACAAATAGGACGTGAATTTCGGGAGCATTTTTCTCCAAAGGAACTGATGTTTGCCGCAGCATCTTGTGTTGAACCGCCAGCTTGATGATGTTTGAAATTAATTTCAAATGCATTACCTTATTTTACGAAACAGGAAAGACGAATGCCGAGATCGTAGAGCACCAAGTTGAATGGAAACCTCAGAAACCAAAATTTAATTATGTTTGCATATAAACGCAAGAGCTTCTTCTGGGGACTACGACCAGAAAAAGATCTTGCGTTTATATGAAAATATAACTTATCGAAAGCGCAATACACGAGTATTCGACTTAGTATTCTTCAAAACGTCGCAGATATGTATCCAGCGTAATATTTTCACATGAAAATATTCACCAAAGCACGTAAAATTTGATTCGTTTGAAAAACTGGTTGCCCCAATTTGCAAATTATCCAACAGAATATCGTATGTTTTGAACACATAAACGCTCTTAACAAGTTGCATTTGTGAGGTAGCGTGTTGAAGTATTTTAGAAAGTTGCCTGTTTTAGTAATTGAGAAAACTCTTTCAAACATAGTATGCCGTGAAAGAATCAAATTTAAAAATACTTCATATCTCAATGAAAATGACGTTTTAAACCATTGATGTTTTCAGCAAAGTTTGTGTGAATGATAAGATATACAACTTTGCGCAATTTTTTTATTTTTCTTAGCCGCATAGAAAAAAAGTTAGAAATTCAATTTTTTTTCTAAGGCATTTAAATTATAGACGACCTCTTCATCAGATGCGCCTTTTTTCAAATCTAAAATTGTCTGAAGACACCAATTTGATTAAACTGCATCTTTGTGCAATGTTTTAGTTTTTACCCGAAAAACACCCTTCTGAACCACTGTGCACCAGTGATGCAAAATATCATGACTCTCACGTGACACTCGTCTATGCATCAACCGACTATCACTGACAGAACGTTTTGAAATGCAGTGAGAGGTAGAGCCATGGCAAACAACAATCACCAGTAATGGTCGCTGCTCACAAGCAAAACGTTATACTCGCTGCTGATGATGAAAGGCACAACGAAAACAGTGAAGACTTCTGCAGTACGATCACGAGAAAAAGCGAAACGACAGAAGAAAATGAAAACAATACCTACGCATTCCAAGTTCGTCTCAACAGGCGCGACTGTGTGAGTTACAAACAAAGCAGGCAACTTTAAACGGAAGCTGTTGGGCTCACTCACCAACACACTCACATAAGCAAGCAAAGCAGCAATTGCTTCAAAACGAGCACAGATGAGTGTCGTGATTGTCAGGAATGACCAGATCGATGAAGGATCACAACCGAAGACGACATTCACCAGTTGCTTTTTACTTCTTTCGTCAACTTGATGGATGGTCATGGAGAGAGGTTCGACGAGCACATCGATAGGAATGTACAAAGCGTCACTACCATCAGCTGTTTGACGATCGTGATTGTGATAGGTCGCAACTCTGCTGTGCACTGCTTGTACATCACCGCTGATCTCCGAGTACGCTCCATCTTCGAAAGCCTCACATTGGGTAGCGGACTGAACCACGGACTCTGTATCGTAATTAAACATGCGAGCCGTCCTGGCTAGCTCTTTGTTTGTCATCTCTTTTAAAAGTTGGGATCTGACAAAACGAATTTGGTCTTCTTCGCTGTATTTGCACAGCTGGACTTGCAACACCAATCTGGCACGGAACGCTACCGTTGATTCTCCACGTTCCTGTTTCATGGCGCAAATAACTTGAAATGTTACCTAGCTGTAGCTGTCTGTATCTGCAAGACTTGGGCGGAGGACTGCGGCGCGGATGATCCCTTGAAGTTCATCTCCAAGGGCCAAGTAGAGCAATTGGGCCTGCTGGGCAAAGTTTGTCATACCATTGAGGGAGATTGAAATTTAGAACTTCTCCAGATATGTGGTGCACATGGTCGTTGCTTTCACAGCCTTCGGGAAACGCAGAATGTTGCCAAACCGAACGTTTTTTTTTCTCTGTTCGGGACCTAACACCACTGCGACCAGTAATTTGATCTATTGTAGTATA